GGATCTCACTGCTACTTCAAAATCCTGCTTAAGCAACCTTCGAACACTACCATAGAGGGTAGACCAAAACTGCCGGACACAGTAAAAAAGTTTACCACCAGAAAGAGAAATCCTAGAATGCTAAGGAAACGACCACGTGTAATGTATGTTAATAATAAATCATATACATAATAACATTATCATTCTCATTTTATAAAATATAATACCTCAAAAGTTAACATATACTACCTTTGTCCCCCTATTATTGTTCCATTGTGGTTTACGATGTTTGACCGACGATAAAGCAAATGGATCCCTGTCCGCACTCAAATTCTTTTCAGAAAAAAATGCATATTCTAAAACTACATTAAAACTTTACAGTCGCAAAAACCAGACTCAAATTTGATAAATTTTGATACAAAAAGTAAAAGATTAAGAGTGATTTGTGTTGACCAAGTGAATAGGAATTGAGACAGTAATAGAGGGACGGAGCGAGTACTACGTATATGGAGTACATATTACAAAAAGTCAATGGTGACAAACTTTTTTGGAATGGATATATGATAGAAAGTATATGAATTGAGTATACTTTTTATTCATTGAGTACATTAAATGTAATGTCAAGTTTTCAAAACATTGATGTGGCTATAAACAAGAAGGAATTGAATGTTATACAAAAAATGTGTAAATATCGGAGGATGTGAATCAAATGGTGGGGGATACCGAAAATTAAAACTATAACAGCCGCTCTCTAGAAATAGTGGCTATCAACTAGTAAGACTGAAATGAGAAGCTGCATTCCTCAACTCACTCTTGCATAAGTACTTCGCATTGTCTTTAATGACGACTCTAAGGTGCACATGTTACTCGACAAGAATGAATTTCAATACTACTGAAGTATTTGTGTGTAATCGGATTGATTTTAAAAATAAAACATGCATAAGATCATGGGCTTCCCCCACTTATCCGGTTGATCTTATAAGATAGAATTTCAAGTTTTAATATGGTACCAGAGCTAATTTCGGTTGTGATTTGATTGTTATTTAGCACTCATAATTATGAATAACTCTTAAAGGTGTGTTTGATTCATATGTACACTTGATGTTGTCCGATCCGATTAGGACTAAAGGGGCATGTTGAAGTATTTATCAACATATTGTCCGAATTATGTTACGTATTGTCCGAGGAACTCTATGTTACGGATTGTCCCATCAACATATTTATCATGTTATTTTGGAAAAATTATATGGATTGTATGAGGAACTCTATAAACGGTGACTGAAAATGAGTTCCTAAGACAAGAGCTCATCACAATTTGCTAGCAATTGGCCAACGTCTGAGGAACTCTATAAATGACGGCTGTTAACGAGTGAGACTAAAATAGAAAGGTGCATTCATGAGCTCATTATTGCTTAACTTCTCATTGTCTTTAATAAATAATGACGACTTTGAACTGCACATTTTATGTAGCAAGAATGAGTTGCAGTACATATTATTAAAGTATTTGATCAATACCAAATTGATATAATAAAATAAAAAATGCATTTTAGGTCCCCAACTCTCCATCCTATCAGTTTGCTCTTTTGGCATGAGACTTCAAATACTTACATGGTATTAGATCCAAGTTTAGTTGTAATGTGATTAATGTTTAATATTCATGAGTAAGAATAGCTCGTCAAAGGCCCGTCTGACCAATTAATCACCCGATAATGTCCAACCCCATTTGGGCAAAAGGGCGTGTTAAAGTATTTATTAACACACAGAATTGATATAAGAAAATAAAACATTATGTAAGATCATTGACTAATCCTATCATGTTAGCATTTTAGAAACACCAATTAATATCAAATATTACCACATGAAATAAAAACAAAATAAAACACCATATAAGGTTCTAGTTTCTCCTCGTAATAATGATTATTCTCAGTACACGGCGAGTTGGGTATATACACATCACAGCTCGTCGGTGGCTTGCTTAAGATATTGATGGAGGTAATAGATGTACTCAACACAAATGTAGACAGGGAAGCAGTCTCGCACATCGGCCTAAATAATGATGGATTTCACGGCGGCATCCTTTTTGGTCCTCATCGTTTTCGAGCTGCTTGAGAAGTTTGGTCATGCTGCTGATCCCAAAGAGGCAGTGGGCGCTCTGAAAAGTTCTGGGCTGATTGGACGGAAAATAAGGGACGAGGACGTAGTGGGGAAAACTATCTATGAATCTGATGATACGACAAGGGTTGAAGTTCCTTCTTTACCAGCAGTCGAATATACTATTCCAATGAAAGAAGTTCTATTGACATGTTGCTCATTCTATGTAGCATTTTATTTTACCCACTGCAGCCTCAAGATTTAAAAAAATCAATATTTTAAATCATATTTCTTCCACAACTGTTATGTTCTTGGCATGGGTCTGTTTCATAATTTTCTATCAAAAGAAAAAAGATGAATCTGTCCTTTCTGCCGTTTTCTAGGTAGTCTCTTTCAAAGAAATGACAAGGGTGTTTAAGACTGGTTCTGATATCTCTTCTGAAACCAAATTTCTATTTCCAACCGGATATATGTACACGATTGTCATTCTTTGTATCCCATCGGCTCAAATGATTGGTCTATCTGTTCAACAAGTATGATCCTAGGCAGAAGGATGATCCTCGGCTGAAGGATGTTTCTAGGCATAAGGATGATCCTAGGCAGAAGAATGTTCCTTAATAAATATGCAGAGATAAACTTTTTTGTAGCTACAAGAATGGTTGAGGTTGGAAATTGTGCATTAAACATTGGTGATGATATAAACCAGAGGGAATTAAATGGTCTACAAAAACTTTATAAACAACAAAAAATGTGAATCATATGAGTGGGGAGAAGGCTGGAAATTAAAACTTTAACGACTTCTCGCAATAACTGGAGGTTGTCAACTAGTAAGACTAAAATAAAAAGCTCCATTCCTCAACTCATTCTTACATAACTTCTCACCGCCTTTAATAAATAATAATGACTCCAAACTGCACATTTTATATACCAGAATTAATTGCAGAACATATCGATGATGTATTTTAAAAACACCGTATTGATAAAAAAACACCATTTAAGATTCTAGCTTCCTCTCCACCAAGTTGACCTTTGTTGATGTAATCTCAAATATTAACATGATATCAGAGCTATGTTTGATTTTGATTTAATTACTGTTTAGCACTCATGATTACAAATAGCTCGTTAAGGATATGCTTGACCATTTACACACACGATGTTGTCCAACCCGTTTAGACTGAAGAGGCACATTAAAGTGGCACACATGACTGATATAAGACAATAATTAAGTACTCCGTATTATGTAAGATATTGAACTACTCATTGTATATATTTTAGGATAGAACATCAAGTCTCATCACATATTACTACATCACATTGTTCTGACATGATCTTTGAAATATTTTTCTTACATAGAAACTAATTAAATCAAGTAAAAAAGCATATTTCGTGTTTTCTTATATTAAACTAGTTCTTAATTTACCATTATCTTTATATTTAAATTAAAAGTGGTTCTTAATTCACCTTTCTCTTTTACGTAGTTTTATTATACGATCACCATGATGTTTTAAAAACATAAATTTTTCTTATTATTATATAATTTTTATATAAAGACAGTGATAAATTATATTTTCAAAACACAATTTATTTGTTTGGTCTTAGTCATTATATTTATATATACCTCAGAATATTTTTCTCATATCGTACCAGATCATAATGAACCTTTTATAATCCTCTGTACTTTTTAATCATTTAGTATGAACTTCATAACTTCAATTTTTATTAATATATGCATCAAATATTTGTATAGAGCTCATTAGGACGTCGGAATGATAAAATAAATTATTTGTGAATTTACTAAAATGTCCATAGTATAATTCATCAATTCTTATTGAAGGACTATGTTTTGACATTTGAGGCAATGCTTGTTCACTTTTGTCACACACTAATTATTATGCTTAAATAGTATTACTTCCATTCATGTTTAGAAATAACTTTTTACTTTGCATGTACACTACACATATTTAATTTTGAGAATATTATATCTATCAACGTATTAAAATTATATCATGAAAATCATCATTAAATTGGTTTCAAAAGTAGAATTTCAAAACATGATTTTTATTTTTTTTTAAATAGAAAATTTAATATATTAAATGATGTGTTGGAAAATATAAATGTCAGTTTGTTGCAACTAAATAAAGTTTGAGGAAATATTAAATTACAACATAAAAATAATTCTAAACACTACTTTTGTAATCAATCTTAATAAAGTTAATATAATACTTGTACATTATTATTATTATTATTATTATTAATTTATGAATAAGTTATTAAGTGACTATAAATTTTAACGAAATTTCCGAGTTATTCGTGACACAATGTCCCCTAAATGAAACAGTACGGAGTACTATACTAAAAAATAGTGTATTCTAGTTTTCTAAAATAGGAAAATCATTTAAATCCGAGCAGATCAGAATATTTATTCATACTTTGACAATAGTATAGTAATCAGATCAAAACATATCAGATTAAGATAATAGTAAAATACTAGTAGTTGAGATGTTTATCAAACTAGACTTAAACACGCTAAATCGAACTAGAAATTTCAATCTAAGTGAAACATCTTTACTTCCAAAACTTGCCTAAATCTTAATGGTGACAACTCTTAAAACTTGATCACTTACTCCAAAGTCTTAGTCAAAATAGAAACTTAGGGATTAAGAAAAAAAACTCAATACTACTGTTAGTAATTTCGTGTAGGGATTAACGTGAAAACTAAGTAATGTTTAGTTTCATACTACGTCGTACGTAATTAATACCGAGTATGGTTGGAAAGGTCAAAAAGAAAAATTAAGAACGAAATCGTATAGTAGTACCTAAACATGCCACAAGTATCTTACATTTTAATATAGGATTGTCGATCATCAATGATAGATTCACTATTAAAGTGGTGAAGACCAACTTCACTATCATATTATCAAAAAATCAATGGAATATATACTTTTATGGAACATAAATGATAAAAAGTACATTTATGGAGTGACTATACTTTTTTTCATTCAATACATCAAATGTAACACTAAATGTAATACTAAATTCTGAAAACATTGGCGTAGATATAAACAAGAGGGAATGAAATGGTCTACAAAAACTCTATCAACAACAAAGAATGTGAATCATATGGGTGGGGAGAAGGCCGAAATTTAAAACTTTAAAGACTTCTCTCTATAAGCGGTAGTTGTCAACTGGTAAGACTAAAATAAGAAGCTGCATACCTCAACTCATTCTTGCATAACTTCTCATCGCCTTTAATAAATAATGATGACTCTGAACTGCACATTTTATACACCAAGAATGAAAAGCATAACATATTGTTGAAATATTTTATACACACCGAACTGATATTAAATACAAAACACCTTTTAAGATTCTAGCTTCCCCTCCACCAAGTTGACGTTTTTTTTTATGTAACCTCAAATATTAACATGATATCAGAGCTAGGTTTGATTGTGATTTGATTATTGTTCAACACCCATGATTATAAATAGCTCATTAAAGATCGATTTGTTTGACCATTTACACACAAGATGTCAAACACATTTATACTAAAAAAGATCATTAAAGTATTTGTCAACACACAAGACTGATACTCCCTCCGTCCCGCTATCATTGTCCCATTTTACCTTTTCGGTCCGTCCCACTAAGATTGTCTCATACCTTATTTAGTAAAGTTTGTGTGGTTCTAAATCATTCATACTTTATTCTTACTTTATCAATTCAATATCAACCACATACACTCACTTTTATTAATAACCGTGCCACATTTTCTTGTCCCAAACTTAGGGGGACAGAGGTAGTATAAGACAATAATTTAGTACTATGTAAGATCTTGAACTACTCATTGTCTTATTGTATATGTTTTATGATAAAATACCAAGTCTCATTGCATATTACTACTTCACATTGTTTTGACATAATTTTTGAAATATATTTCTTATATAGAAAAAAAACAAATCAAATAAAAAAGCTTAGTTCAAGTTTTCTTATGTTAAACCAGTTCTTAATTTGCCATTCTCTTTTATATTCATATCAATTCTTAATTTACCTTTCTTTTTTATGTAGTTTATATTACGATCTTGACCATCATGTTTAAAAAAACATAAATTTTGTCTTGTTTGTATATAATATTTATATAAAGCCAATGATAAATTATACTTTGTAGTTTAAAAATACAATTTTTTTCCTTTTGTTTGTATGATCTTGGTCATTATATTTTTACTGACCCAAAATATTTTTCTCATTTCGTACCAGATCATTATAAACCTAATATAATTCTCTATACTTTTTTCATCCTTTAGTATAAACTTCATAAGTTCAATATTTATGACGAAAAAGGTACTTGTGGTTTGGGCTGTTTTCAGATAGGGGCATGTGTTTCATTTTTTAACAAAGTGGAACATGTGCTTCAATTCCGTTATCACAACAGGGGCATGGCGCCTAACGCCGTTAGAAAATTTAACCCTGATTTTTAAAAGTCTCCGAAACATTATAAGAAAAATACTGGGAGGTGGGTCTCGTCAAGGAAATCAACAAACTATCGTTCTCTTTGAATTTTTCGGCTATATTTGGATTATTTTTTAAAAATGAATTGGATAATATCACTTTTTCAGCGGATTTTTTGGCGACATGGTGGCTGGAAACAAAAAAAGAAAGATAGTTTGTTGGTCTCCTTGACGAGGCACACCTCCCAATATTTTTCTTTTAATGTTTCGGAGACTTTTGAAAATCGGAGTCAGATTTTCTAACAGCGTTAAGACGCCATGCCCCTGTTGTGATAACGTAATTGAAACACATGTCCCACTTTGTTAAAAAATGAAACATGTGCCCCTATTTGAAAACGGCCCAAACAACATGTACCTTTTCTGTACTTTTCCCTTCATTCTTTATTATTATAAATAAATTTTTACTTTGCACACTACACACATTTAATTTTGAGAATATTATATCTATTAACGTATATATTAAAATTATATCAGGAAAATCATTATTAAATTTGTTTCAAAAGTACAATTTTTTTTGAACGATTCAAAAGTACAATATTAAAATATGATTATTTATTTTATTTTTAAAATTGAAAATTAAATATAGAAAAAATTCACAAGAATAATCCCACCTTTCACCGGTCTTCTCATAATAATTCCACCTTTAAATAATCCCAAAATAATCCCACATTTGCACTTCATCTTCTTTCATTGGACCCTGACCATGTTTTTTACTCTTTTTTTGAAAATCATATAAATGTTCTCACCTTTCACTTTTTTATTATATCTTTATAAATGTAAGATTATTTTCGGGTGGCCGGTCCTGAGAAAATGGGGGCTTGTGCACCAAAAAAAGTTGGGCCTTCTTTTTTCACATAAATACAAATTAAATAAATCATAAATAAATTAAAGATGATGATAGTAATACATTGCAGAAAATTTATGCAAAAAACAATTTAGAATGAACATAAAGTGCTCATTAAATGAAAACATTTCATTTGGGTCAGGACTATAGATTATAATTTATAAACCCAAAAATAACATTCCCACAGTCTTAGCTAAAGCTTTCTATTTCTATTTTAGAAAATAATTAACACTCTTTAATCACAAATTAATCATCAAATATGAAAAACAATACACCTATAACATCACATGTATCATCAATAATCTCATTATGTTATATAAATATCAAAGTTACTTCTAAAAATATACTTGAAACTTTATTTAATTATTATCTAAACAATCGTTTCATTTTTCTAATTCTGTCAATTTGTTAAATAATAAATATACTTACTTAATTATGCAATATAATTACTTGATTACATAAATAATAGCACTAAATTGTTATATTGCATTATAAACTACTCAGCCTAAAAATAATTAAACTAAGTAACTCAATTACATGATGATCAAGAAGATGAAGCATACGAAATTTAGAAGATTACTTGAGTTTTTTCCTAAAATAATGCTAAATAAAAAAAATCCAAAATTAGGGTCATATTAATAATATTTCCCAAAATAGTGCTGGGACTTACCAGGATTAACAAAACCGCCACTTCAAGTGGCGGCTTATGAGAAAGGTCAAACACTGTAGCTGACTAACAAGCCCATAGCCAATGAGGAGAATTAACTCATGGGACTCGTCTAACAAAATCATCTGTGTATTTTAAGCTGCAATAACGTTTTTGTTTGTACTCCATTTATTATAAAAAAATATATCAAAATTTATATCTTTTTATTATCTTTCATATAGCACCAATATTCAATATATAAAAATAAAAAATGATTTACGATTTCAAAAAACTTTTGTTTTTTAAAGTGTTGTAACTCTTTTATTTTTACTCCGATTGTTACAAAATATAAATCAAAATCCATAACTTTTTATTATCTTACATATGATACCAGTATTGCATATATAAAAATGAAAAAATATTTTGGCACTTTAAAAAACATTTGTCTTTTAACATGTTGTAACTTTTTTATTTGTACTCTCGTTGTCACAAAAAATATCAAAACTCATAATGTTTTTAATATCTTTTGTATAACACTTATATTACACATAAACAAGAATTAACACATGCAAAAGAATATTTTAATACTTTTTTAAACATTTTGTTCTTTCCACACCGAAACAAGAAGTTACGTCTTCCATTCCCTTATCTTCTTCTCACGCTAAAGCAGCAACATGAGCTTGATGAAATGAGGTTGAGTGTTATTACGAGCTTGATTCTAAAGATCGTATCTTGAAATTCTAGTTCGCAAAAAGTGGTGCATGGATCAAGAAGTAAAAGGCCCCAAATTTTGAGAATTATTATATATAACGGGCTGGGCCGGGTACCCTGGCAGTCAGGGGCGGAGCCAAGGGGGGTCAGGGGAGTCAGTCTACCCCGCTGAAAGTTTGAGAGCATAGAGCTCTCTGAAATATCTTCGATTTGATATATTATGGCCCCCGTAACTCATTACGAGTAAAAAGTTATGACTTCTGCAAAATCAGCACTATCTAAACGTAAAATCAGCAAAATTTGATGAGTAATATTGATTTTTTCCCTCAAATTTTAAAATAGCGTATAATTAACTCATTACTTACGTGACATGACTCAAAAATAGAGCAAAAACAGTCTCTTTTATTGTTACGAGTGCCTATTTATCTAAAATACATATAAAATATTCAACTCGGACATTGTTTGGAAACGATCCACCGTTTTCATTTTGTATAAAGTTGATTCTCGACCCCCTGGATCGTATTTCTGGCTCCGCCACTGCTGGCAGTTCAATATTTTGGAACCGGTCTGGGTTATAAATATTTATTACCCGGCCCTACCTGGCCCGTTTTCTAGTTACGAAAATGGAACCGGCCCGTTTTGGACCCGAACTGCAAATACCCAACCCGGACCGCGATTCCAAGACCCGTTTGCCCACTCTTACTACAGAGTACTCCCTCCGTCCCATTTTATGTGTCTTAGTTTGACTTGGCACGATTATTAATGAAGTGGTTGAAAAAGTAAAAGTTGTGGTTGAGGTTTGAGTATAATAAAGTGAAATGGTGTAGACCACATATTTCTTTCCAAAAAAGGAAAGAAGACAGCTACTTTGGGACAATCTAAAAAGGAAAGTAGGACAGGTAAAATGGGAATGAGGGAGTATTAAACTTTATTTTTGGGCCATCAAATTTTAGGGGCCCTCCGTTATCGTAAGGAGTATAGCAATACTACTATGTGTCGGCCCTGTTATATTTAAATCGGAATATATCATATTATGACAATAGTAAAATTTTGAGACGTTTATCAAACTAGACTTAAACACATTAAATCAAACTAGAAAATTGCAATCTAAGTGAACCATATTTACATCCTAAATTTACCTAAATTTTAATGGTAACAACTCTTGAAACTTCCTAGTCCAAAGTCAAAAGTCAAAATAAAAACTTAGAGATTAAGTAGAAAACTCAACACTACTATTAGTATTTTTGTGTAGGGATTAAAGTGAATACTAAGTAAAAATTTTGTTTCATGCTACACAATTAATACGGAGTAAGAAAAATTAATAATGAAATCTTATAGTAGTACCTGGACATGTTGCGAGTATCTTTCGTTTCAATATAGGATTGTCGATCATGGACGATAGCTTCAGTACTATTAAAATGGTGAAGACCAGCTTCATCCGGAAAAGGTGATATAGATATCCTATTATCATTTCTATTATAACACTGTTGGAGACTGAAAAAATTAGGTTTTCCAACACTTTCGCTGGATTGATCTTGATCTCCTTCCTCGCCCAAATCCTCCTCATCAATATCACCAAACATATTAACCTTCATCGGATGGCGGCTAGACACATCTGCTGAATTATTATTAACAATTCCATAATAATGATGTAATGAATCGGCCGTATACTGTAATTGATGCTGATTTTCATTCTCAGAATCAACCGGCCCTAATAACGACTGTTCTCTGTAAAAAGCTAGTTGGGCGTATACGCACCGCAGCTCGTCGGCAGCTTGCTTAATCTGCTGATCGAGGTAATAGATGTACTCGACGCAGCCGTAGACGGGGAAGCGGTCCCGCATATCGGCCTCGAAAATGATGGATTTCATGGCGTCGGCCTTCAGGTCCTCGTCGTTTTCGAGCTGCTTGAGAAGTTTGGTCATGTTGCTGATCCCGAACAGGCGGTGCGCGTTCTGAAAAGTTCTGGGCTGATTGGCCGGGAAATATGGGGCGAGGACGCAGTCGGGCGCGCACTTCCTCCGCTGGTACTTGCAGGCGGCGCAGGCCGAAGATGACGATGAGGAAGACGATGAGCCTCCCGGCATTTCTGTCTTAGATTTGCTGCTGCTGGCCGGTGTGCGTGAGAAGTACGGTACGGTGTACTTGGTGGAACGACAACATAATGCTGATCGAAGTAAATGAAAATTAATACGGGCGGCGTACGGTCCAGAAAAAAGTGGGGATTGGTTACAATGTCCGATTCCCACGGGATTGGATGAGCTAGTCAACGACTAACGGATTGATCTGCTTGCCCACAAAAAGTAGATGGTACATACTTCTTAAATAAATGTAATGGTCAACATTTCACACTTGTCGAGATACAATTTTGACCATTAATATAAATAATTTTGTATTAGTAAAAAAATTAAAAAAAAATTAGATTATGAAAATTTACAATGAAACAAGTTTAACAATATTTTTTCATAAAATAATATTATTACATTAATAAATAAAATGTAGTCAAAGTAGAACATGTGAATAGTGTAAAAGTCAAAGTGTTGCATTTATTTAAGAACGGAGGTAGTATAACATACTCCTCGATCATCATGAGGGAGATTGTTCAGTTCACGTGTCTCAATTAGAGTCCAAATAACTTCACTAATGTTGGGGTTAATACGGGTACATATATTGGATTGAATTGAAAAAATGACGTTTTCCACTAATTTTATGGCCAAACAAGTAAATTACCAAACATCTTCTGACAACCCGTCAATTTATTTCGGTAGTCAAACCCGCTGATTGAATCCGCTATTGACAACTCGCTATCCACTCATAATAAATTGTCGTGAACTTTAGCCCACCATAACCTATATAGATCTTTCTCTGCAAGTATGTATCCTTATTTATCAAGGATTTTGTTGAGGTAAATATGTATGAGAGCGTTTATACTTTTTTGCACATCCTTCTAAACCTATTATAGTATCTGTTCTAGTTAATGCCAACACCTCCTCTTTGGGAGATCAACGGTGATGTCATCAGACCACAAGGTACTTGGTGAGCGTTTCCACTTTTTAATGTGCTCTTTCTGCCGCTTATATATATTTTTGTGGTTTTATCTTTTTTGGATATCCCAACAATTTTGTCCCTTTCTCTTTTACTCAATGAATTTGTGATTCTTATCATTTCTCTCTAATCTGCTTAAATCTCAACAACATCATTTTTGCTCTATTATTTATCGTGTCGTGTGGTCAAACCTTGTAAAGTTTCGAGGTCGGGAAGTACTATCTTCAGTTTTTTTTTAATTGCAACATGAACAACTTTACAATATTCACATGTTTTACTTTGACTACATTTTATTTATTAATGTGTGAGAATTATTTCTTTAAAAAATATTGTTGAAAATTCTTGAAATTGGTTCATTATAAATTTTCATAATTAGTTTGATATTTTTTTATTAATAAAAAATTCAATATAATGACACTGAGATCAGCTAGAGTGGTACGCTAACATGGAGAAACAATGAGAAAAGTATTAGGCTATTAGCTATGTATATACGCAAGTATATACGTAGTGAAGTATAGGACTCAAATAAGTACGTCCAATATAGTAAAAACATTATTCAAGCTAATTAGCTAGGTACAGCAGTACATAAGTATGTACTCTATACTACGTACTAATACGGTACTAGGCACCCCTAAAAGATCATGTGAGAAGTGTGTCTTAAGAGAATGAGAATTGCGGATTTTAACTAATAGAGATAATAAGGTAACTTATATAATAGAAATTATAACTTATAAATCCAACTACTCTAAATCAAAAATATAATTTTAGTGATAAATTGAGAAAGTATGAGATTACAATGAAAAACACTAGCTAGTAGTAGTTGAAAAATATTTAAAAAAAAAATATTTATCAAAAAGATATTTATTTATTTGCCAAGACATATATGTCCTAATAAACTTTTAATACGTTAAACATAACTTATAAAATCAAATGTTTAACTCTTACAACTTTTTAAATTACTTTACAGTTCTCAGCCTAAGAACACTTCTTACCTGATCTGCTATATATATACATATATTTATGGTCGCACAACGCTTCGAGAAAAATTGCCTTGTATATATATTTGTATAACTGCTCCAACTCTAAATAATGCTCCTAATCACATCAAAATTATTTGATAGAGTATATGTTAGAGATATTTCTATTGTAATTGTGATCAATGTTTACTTTGCTAGTTTATGGTTAGCTGTTATAATAAATAGGCATTTTAGGCAAAATGTAATAAAGGCTTTCATGCCTTTTTAGGTATGGGCCTCCTAGAAAAGGGAGCCCAAATAATTGTAAAACCTACCTTTCCCGTCAGGCTATATATATGCCTTAAGGGAAAGGCTAGGTTAAGCTTTTCAGATATTCTCATACCCTAGTGCCGCAGTGCCTATATCGGTGATAGAAGTTTTACGCTAAGTTTTGTTCATCATTCTGTAAACTTCTTCATCATTCAATGGAAAGCTTCATTCCCAGATCTATCTTCCATACATACATTTTATAGATTAGAAAACAGGGACCTAACATCTGGTATCAGAGCCGGAGCTGATCGATCGATTGAAGGCTGATAATCACTCCTGCGCGATTCTTCATCGTTGAAGTTTCGCACTTGAGCGATCTTCTGTTCTGTTTTTGTTGATATTTTTGCAGGAAAATGGCTGAAGGAAAGTGTTTTTAGGATTGCTAGGATCATTCCTGGAGAAAATCGCTATCTGAAACTCAGCGTACAGGTTAAGCCAGATTTGAGAGATTCTGATATTTAGCGCAACTCGCTGGGAAGAAGAACAGGTTCGCGCAACGTGCCATCTGCGCGATTTCAAACAATCTCAGATTTCGCACAACACTCCTGCGCGATTCCTAGGATTGCGCAACTTCTCCTTTTGCGCGATTATAGCCTCGGCAGAACAGGACTTGCGCCATTCTCTTTGCAGATAGAGCGATCATCCTGCGCGATTTCCACTTCGCGCAAGTACACTTGCGCGATCTTTGACTTGCGCGTTTTGTACTCGCCCGATCTGAGAAGTTGCGTTATTTTGTACTTGAGCGATTTTTAAGTGTCGAGCGATCCTTTTAGAAGTTGAGAGATTGTTTGCTAAGTTGAGCGATCTTTTATTGAGAGTTGAGCGATCTTTTTAAGACTTGAGCGATCTTTGTTAAAGAGTTGAGCGATCCTCCAAAAGTTGAGCAATCTTTCACAAGTTGAGCGATCCTTCTACAACTTGAGCAATCTTTCAATACCTTGCGCAATTTTGACCAGTACTGCACAATAACCTTCTACCTGAATTACCAAACAACAAGACAGAACCTATTCAATCAACTGATCAGCCCGATCAATTTAAACATGGATGCATTATCAATTGGAAATGATACAAGACCCCCAATCCTACGAAGGGGTGAGTATAATGTATGGAAGAACCGATTTCTGAACTTTCTGGAGAGCAAGGACCAATCCTCAGGTCTTCTTGACTCTATCACAAATGGACCCGCACAATTAATGATAGCTGTTGAAAGAGACAATGGAAACAACCCACCGGTGGAGATTGAGTGGAGACCCAAGACTGTTGATGAATATGATGACGAGGACAGAGCAAGACTCCGTGCAGATCTCATTGCTAAGACTTATCTTCTGCAAGCCATCCCGAACGACATCTACATGCAGATTGACAGCATGTCAACAGCAAAAGAGATGTGGGATGAGATCTTCAAGATCATGCAAGGCACTGAGATCGGAGTAAAGGCGAAGAAAGCTAGCACATTCACTGCTTACGACTCGTTCAAAGCCAAGCTTGGAGAATCACTCGAGGACACCTACCTCAGATTCCTGCAATTGATAAATGAGATGAGGAAGATTGGCGTGCACAAGTCAAACATGGAGCTGAATGTGAGATTCCTATCTTCTCTTGGAGCTGACTGGAAGAAGCTGAGCTCACAGATAAGGCACACAAAAGACCTTGATGAAATGGACATTCATGCAGTGTACAACACACTTGATCAGTATGCTGAAGATTTCTCGGACTTTGTGGTTGCCACTGTGACAGCTGATAAAGGGAAGGGAGCCGTGGACAAGCTAGCAGACACCCTTGCCCTAATACTTGACAAGCCTTCGAAGTCTGGTTCCAAGAAAGATAAGATGATAGCTGATGAAAGTGAAAGTGCTGACAGTGACATCGGATTTTGGGATGATTCAGATGATGATGAGCTTCGTGACTTCCAGAAGCAGATAGCCCTTCTTACCTCCAGGTTCAACAACCAAATGCAGAAGAAAAAGAACCCCTCTAACAACAGACTCCGCAAGTCCTCTTCCAGCAACAACAAGAGAAAAGAGCGATCTTTTGAATCGTCTGAAAATATTGTTGCTGAGGATGCTCCAAAGTGCTTCAACTGTGGGAAGACTGGACATCTGATGAAGGACTGCAGGATGCCTAAGAGGAAGAAGGATGCTGAGTACTACAAGCAGAAGATGTATCTGAACAAGAAGAAGATGTTGCTGGCTATGGAAGAAAACAAGGAAAAGAGTGCCCTCATGGCTGAAAAGGATCACTGGATGGATGATTCTGATGAGGAAGAGAATCTGGCTTTGATGGCAATTGTTGAAGAAGAAGAGAAAGAGAAGGATGCTGAAAAGGAAGGAAAGATGAAGTCAACCCCTGCTGCTGATGAAAAGGAGAAAGACAAAGCTGAGGAGGAGAAGAACCTGCCTACTGCAACCAATGCTGATATAGCAACTGCCCTGACTGCTGAAAACAGAAATGCTGACAATGAAGTAAGTACCTCTAATCCATCTATTCATAACTGCTCTAGAACAGATATGCATGATAAATTAAAGGAGCTTGAGGTGAATTACAAACGGTTGTATGAGGTATATAACCAACTGCGTGAAAAACAGACATGCTCAAACATTAAGATAATCAATTCAGAGAAAACAATCACTAAACTCACAACTGAGAATAAGCGACTTAGTGCTAGTGAGAAAGAGTTGACCGAGAAGCTTAGAACAACCGAAAAAGAAAGAATTAGGCTTTTTGGTGTCAATAATTTGCTAATGGAAAGAAGGGGTGCTCTTTATACTAAAATCAAAGAACTTGAAGACCTGTTAGCTAAGAGGGACCAAACAGACCAGACTATTTTCC